TCCACAGGAGGCCGTCCTGATGAGCGTCCGGCTCTCGGTGGAGAGGAGACCCGCGGTGGGCAGCTCCTTCCACAGGAGGCCGTCCTGATTAGTGTCTAGCTCTCAGTGGAGAGGACTCAACGGTGGGCAGCTCCTTCCACAGGAGGCCGTCCTGATGAGTGTCCGGCTCTCAGTGGAGAGGAGACCCGCGGTGGGCAGCTCCTTCCCACAGGAGGCTGCCCTGATGAGCGTCCGGCTCTTAGTGGAGGGGAGACCCGCGGTGGGCAGCTCCTTCCCACTGCTGGTAGTCCTGACATCTGTGTGAGTCTGGCTGGGTCTGGAGTTTTTATGGGTTCAGAAGGGAGGAAGTGCATGCTGATGGTCCACGGGCGGCCATTGGTGGACCCGGAATAAGCACCATAAGTTCTCACTCCAGGCTGCAGACCTCACCTGGAACTGATGGCCCAGCTCCCAGGCTTCAGGCTGTCCCTGGCTTGAAGGTGGGCTTCACTGGGGACCTTCCCCTTTCCGCGCAGGAGCCTGTTTGCCTCCTGCTGCCATCAATCATGTCATCCATGGTGCCCAGGCTGTTTGCAAGGGGCACCTGCAGTCCTGTGCTGAGCCACCTTCAGCTCCTCCGCAGCCTCCCTGCCATGCTTGTTGGCAGCCAAAGTCCAGAGGGGGCTGAGGTGGCAGGGGCTGGCATGTCAGCACCTCTGTGAGTGCACTCCCAGCTGTGTTGCTACAGAGCTCAGGCCTGGCTTCAACTTTGCTCCAAAATCAGAGCAGGCACCAGGAACCGGGAGAGGCCAGGCAGTGGGAATAGGCACTTCCGAGCCTGCAGGGGCAGGGAGGCCTCCTGGGCCCCCAGGAGCGCAGGGATGCCTGGGTGTGCAGCCATGCCTGGGAGGGTGCAGCTGTGCCCAGGAGTGTGGGGCTCCCACCCCGCCAGCTCGGAATGGGCTGTTCCTGGCTCTCGCCGGCTCAGTTGAGTGCACAGCCCCTGCCGTACCTCCCCCGCCGCAGCCAGCCTCACCACAGCGGCTGCTCCAGGCAGGCCACCGCCACCATCAGTGTCCAGAAGACAGTGTTTTCCTAGAAGGTGGTCGCTCCCGTGGGTTATTGCCCCGAAGACTTCCTGTGGGACGAGGTAGAGAGGGACGATGGTGATACTCATTATCCTGACCCTGTGTAGGCAGGCCTAGGCTGGGGTGTGTGTGTGTGTCTTAGTTTTTAACAAACAAGATTAAAAAGTTAAAAACAAGTTAACAGGACAAAGCTTATAGAGTAAATGTGTAAAGGAGAAAATGCTTTTGTACAACTGTATACTGTTTGCATTTTAAGCTAAATGTCACTACAAGAGGCAAAAAGTTTAAAAACGTTTGAATGTTTATAAAGTAAAAACGTACAGTAAGCTAAGGTTAATTTATTATTGAAGAGAGGAAAACTTTTGTTTTTGAGACAGGGCTTCCCTGTCACCCAGGCTGCAGTGCAGTGGTGCAGCCTCGACTTTCCGGCTCAAGTGCTCCTCCTGCCTCAGCCTCCCAAGTAGCTGGGACTACAGGTGCACGCCACCACACCCAAGGCTGGTGTTGAACTCCTGGCTTCAAGCAGTCCTCCTGCCTTGACCTCTCAGGATTTTGGAATTACAGGCATGAGCCACCAAAACTTTAAAAAAAAATCGTGTTGCCCAGGTGTACAGTGTTTGTTGTAAAGTCTCCGGTAGTGACAGTCATGTCCAGGCTTTCACAGTCACTGTCACTCACTCAGTCCCTGAGGCACCCAGGCGGTGTCTAGTCCTGCAGACATCATTCACGGTAAGTGCCCTGTACAGGTGTACCATTTAAAAACCCTTACAACTGTATTTCTGCTGTACCTTTTCTACGTTTAGATACGTATAAATGCACTAAATCTTACCATTGTGTTACAGCTGCCCACGGCATTTAGTACATTTACCTGCTGTCCAGGTGTGTAGCCTGGAGCAGTAGGCTTTGCCAATGGCCGGGGTGTGTTTTGGGCTCCAGTATCTAGGTGTGTGTAGATACAGTCCGTGATGCTTGCAGTGAGGAAATCGCCGATCGTTAAGCAAAGAATGACTGCCCTTCTAGAGCTTCATTATACATTCCAAGCAAACAGAAACATTTCCTCTGCTTTTCCTTTCACAAGCCACAGGATGACACACTCCTGCACCTTGGTCCCTCCTTCCCTTGGTGAAGTGTTAATGTCAGTGCTGTGGAGATGTTTTGGAATCAGTCCAGGGTTCCCTTCTTCTTTCTGACAGTCACAGAGTATTCCATGGTGTGGATATGCCCAGATCGATTTCACAGTCCTCCGTGGGTGGACATTTAGGTGACTTTAGATCGCTCCCTATGGCAGAATGGATGGCCTGGTCCGTGTGCTGTTTTGCGTGTTTAAGTGTGAATACGTGCAGGATGGATGCCCAGAACAAGTGCTGTTTCAAAAGGTACACACTTTTGTAATTTTGATGTACACTGCCAGATTATCCTCCAGAGAGGATGTGTGGGTTCATCCATCCATCCGTGGGAAGTTACTAATTCTACACCCCATGCTGTGCAGGGTCTCTCGAACTTAATCCTCCTGTGCCGCTGACGTTTTGTATCAATTGGCCAATCTCCTCCCTTCCTCCAGTCTCTGGTAACCCCTTTCTACTTCCATGAGATCAACTTTGTCAGCCTCCCCGTGTGAGTGAGAACATGCAGTATTTGTATCTCTGTGCCTGGCGTATTTGCTCAACATCCTGTCTTCCAGGTTCATCGGTGTTGTCACAAAGGACAGGCTTTCTTTCTCTCAAGGCTGGATAACATTGCACTGTGAGAAAACAGGTGCCACGTTTTCTCCATCCAGTCATCTGGTGATGGACACTGAGGCTGATTCTCTATCTTGGCTCTTGTGAACAGTGCTGCAGTGAACATGGGCGTGCGGGTCTCTTCACCATCTGATCGTGCTTTCTTTGAATCTATTCCCAGTCGTGGGGTTGCTGAATTAGGTGGTACTTCTTTATTGAATTTTTGGAGGCGCCTCCACACTGTTTTCCATCAAGGTTGTACTAATTGACATTCCGCCCGCAGGCTGCAGGGGCTGCCTTTCCTCCACATCTTCACCAGCACTGACCATCTTCTGCCTTTGTGACGATAGCCATTCTAACAGAGGTGAGGCGGTGTCTCACTGGGTTTTAATCTGTATTTCTCTGATGGTTAATGATGTCGAGTGCCTTTTTGTGTATCTGTCTTCTGTGAAATAACTGTTCGGGAACTTTGTGTCTTTTTTCATGGGGTTATTTATTTTCTTGCTATTGAGTTCTTGGAGTTCCTTATATACTGTATTTGGATGTTTACACCTATCAGATGTATGGATTGCAGACATTCCCCCCCTCTGTAGATTGTCTGTTTACTGTGTTGATTGTTTCCTTGGCTGTGCAGAAGCTTTTTAATTTGATGTAACCCTGTTTGTTTTCACTTCTATTGCCTTTGCTTTTGGGGTCATATCCAAAAAGTCATTGCCCAGACTGATGTTGTGGAGCTTTTCCTCTCTTTTTTTCTAGGAGTTTTACAGTTTCAGGTCTAAATGATGTCTTTAATCCATTTTTGAGTTGATTCTTGTATATGGTGTGAGTTGTGCTTACAGTTAAGCTTCTGTACATAGAGAAGCAGTTTTCCTAGCATTATTTATTGAGAGACTGTTCTTTTCTTATTATGAGTTTTTGGCACCATTGTCTAAAATAATTTGACCATAAATGAGTGGATTTATTTCTGGGCTGTCTATCTTGTTTCATTTGTCTGTATGTCTGTTTTTATGTCATCACCATGCTGTTTTGATTACTATAACTTTGTGGCATGTTTTGAGTCAGGATTTCATTATTCCCCAAAATTTTATCGTTTTTATTGTTCGAAGGAATATTATATGTGTGTGAATGCTACTATTGTCTAAATATTAACTTTGGGCCAGGCATGGTGGCTCACGCCTGTAATCCCAGCACTTTGGGAGGCTGGGGCAGGCAGATCACCTGGGGGCAGGCAGATCACCTGATGTCAGGAGTTTGAGACCAGCCTGGCCAACACAGTGAAACCCCGTCTCTACTAAAAATTAAAAAATTAGCCAGGCATGGTGGTACGTGCCTGTAATCCCGGCTACTCAGGAGGCTGAGGCAGTAGAATCACTTGAACCTGGGAAGCAGAGGTAACAGTGAGCTGAGATCGCCCCACTGTACTTCAGCCTGGGTGACAGAGTGAGATTCCATCTAAACAAAAGAATTGGTTTTTGCTAACTTCCTGAATTCTTTTGTTGTTTTGTTAGTTCATCACCTTGGGTTTTCCAGGTATCCAGTCATATGAACTGCAAATAGGAATGGTTAACCTTCTCCTTCCAATTTTATACTCTGGTTTCTTTCTCTCACCTATTTTTGTGGACTAGATCCTTCACATGGTGGTAGCTGGTGGCGGCTGTAGTAGACATCTGTTAGGAATGGCTCTGCTGTTACTCTGTTAAGCAGAGTATGGCTCTGGATTCAGAAAGGTATGTTCATGAAGAACCTGTACTTTCTATTTTATTTTGTGTTTTCTTTTTTAAAAAATCAAGAATCATTATTAAATTTTGTCCGTTGCTTTTAAAAAATCATCTGTGGGGTGATCATATGTTTTTTTCTTAGATGTATTAATGTAATGAATTATACAAATGAAGTTGCTTCATAATGAAAGATTCTTAAATTCCTTGATTGTGCTTCCCTCGGTCCGACACATAATTCTCTAAGGTGCTGTGAATGCACTTCTTGCTCATATTTAATAGAGTTTTATGTGTTGCTCCTCATCATTAAGGCTGGCCTGTCGTTTTCTTTTTTTTTTTTTTTTTTTTCCCCATTTATTTATTTTATTGCATTTTACATTTTGGGGTACATGTGAAGAACATGCAAAATTGTTGCATAGGAACACACGTGGCAGTGTGACTTGCTGCCTTCCTCCCCATCACCTACATCTGGCATTTCTCCCCTTGCTATCTCTCTCC